AATATTTGTATTTATGTTAAAACAATTAATGCGTAAGAATAAGATAATGTAATAGGTTTTAGTTTATGTTGTTTTATCAAAATTATTGATACATAGACTTAAAGGCATGTTCAACAAATCATAACTTGGTTAATATTATTAAATTGTTTTCTATCCTTAAATACAAAGATATGATAAGTATGTACGTCACAAATATATATACGAGGTGTGTTCAGAAAATATCGGGAACAAATATTTATTTATTCGTCTACATTAATGTTGTCGCCTTCAAAATAGTCCCCATTGGATATTATGCACATGTGCCAGCTCTTCTTCCAATACTCGAAACACTTCTAAAACTCGATCTTTGGGATAGCCTTTAGTTCTTTCAGCGATGCGCTTTTAATGTCATCTATGCTTGCAAAACGACGGCCCTTTAAGGTCCTCTTTATTTTTGGTAATAGGAAAAAATCAGACAGGGGCATGTCTGGCGAATATGGAGGCTGGGGCATCATTACAGTATTGTTTTTGGCCAAAAATTTTGTTCAAAATTTAACAATTTTGGAACAAATTTTGCTGCAACGCAAACATTTGAAAAAATTTCATGGGATGAGCCTATCGATATACCAACATCATCAGCGACTTCTCTGATGGTTTATAACCATTTCTTCCACTTTTTCCATATTTTTATCGGTTGTTAATGTGCTTGTGCGTTCGGGGCGTTCGTCATCTTCAACGTCTTCACAGCCATCTTGGAAACTCTTATACCACTTGTAAACTCTTGTTTTACTTATAGCAGACTCACTATAGGCCTTTGTTAACATTTCACAGAATTTATTTCATTTTTTAAGCAAAATTGGATACAAATTCTCTTTGATCCATTTCTTTTAACGAACGAAAATCGCTGTCACAGACAAAGTAAACAATGAAAACAGCTAAAGTTTTTATCATACTTCGGGGGCATGTATACCAACATATTAAATAATTTTATGACAACCGGACCCTCTGAAGCCGCGAAATTGAACAATTCCCGTTATTTTTTTGAACACACCTCGTATATATACCTATATACGAAAAAAATCCATGGATAAATGACAGTTATGAGAATTTATGTACAAAAAATGTAAAATACACACGTGTGGAAAAAAATTTACGTAAAAGTTTTCTGACATTAAGATAGATAAAAAACACGGCAACACGTCTTTTCACAAAATTTAAAATCCATATAAATTTGGCAATATTTTTAAATATATCTAAATTCTTACTCATAAATTCTGTAGAATACATATTCCAATATGTTATTTAATAGTTTTGCGTCAAAGTATAGTATATTACCATTTTGACTGGTTTATATATATTTTGGGTAATTTTGCATCTACGTCATTCTATATATATATATATATATATATATATTATTTTTTTTAATAGTATGGTAACTAATACACTAGTTTGCAAATCCAGGCAAATAGCGGTCAACAAACCCGTTAAAAATATTAAGAATAAATGAATAGTTAAGTATACCTATTTTAGGTCAAATATAGTAATTAATCAAAAACAAAGATGCTGCATTTAATGTACATAGGTGCATTACAAATAAATTATAGCAAACTATTTGAAAGCCTTGAATTTATTTAATTATGTGGTGAGGTTAATTGCTTTTTTTTAATATTTTAGATTTTCCAAGAAATAATGTTTGGTTTTTTGGGTTTTTTATACCAAATTTTAATTATTTATCGAAATAAAAACCTACTGGACACAATATGAAGTTTGATTAAAGCCATTTTAGTGACAAATTTAAATTAGGCGCGAGCAAGTGTTTAATAAAAATGAGTGCCTAGAAAAGTTGCAAACTATACTTTACGATAAATATTTGTATAAAGCGACATTTATACAAAAATATAGTAACCAAAATTGCTGTTAGAAATTTGTTCAGTATTAGTTTGTGGAATTTTCCTGTAAAAATAGAATATTCTCCCTTAAAAATGGACTAAAAGCCGTTTAAATCTGGTATAAAAGCAGTTTTTCACATTTAAATTAAAGAGGATGTTTTTATTAAAGCTAATAAAGTTTTTAAAATAATAGTATATTATGTATCAAGTTTGATAAACGCCATTTTATACACGAAGTTAATTTAAATTAATGAGTGTATAGAAAAGTTTATAAACGAGTTGCATTTCTTGAAAATTGACAGTTTTTCACAATGAAAGTAAAGAAAATGTTTTATGAGCACTTTACAGTGGAGTCCGTGCCCGAATTTAAGATATAGTTTACTGCCGGCGAAATTAAAAGGTCAGTACAATGTTCATATAAACTTTTCAAATATTGGCGAGAAACTATTTATTACTTTTGTATTTTTGTATTGAGATAATAAAATAATTTTCACATTTAGTATTATTTTACAAGAAAGGCAATTTATTTTAACGATTGTATGACATTTGACATCTGTCAACTAACTTAAAACTAACTTCAGCCCGTGACTAACATCCTGTTGCTAACTTCTGCCCGTGACTAAAGCGCCATAAAGCCACAGCTTGTCAATGTGTATTTAAAAGGTCACTTAGTGTCATGGAAACATGTACGATAAAGGGCGTTTTAAAGGTGAACGTAGAAAAACTTAGTTTTTCCACCTTAAAATTTTAAATTTTAAGTCTCATATTTAATATTAATTTAAATATTTTATTTTGCATTCTTTTAACAAACATTTTAGATAGAAATTAACTATTATTATAACTATCCCATGTTGTGAGTGCATGCAACAAAAAATGCATAATACCCATATTTTGCTTAATTTAAGCCTGATCATGTCAATTTAATGATATATGATTAATTTTAATCTTTAATTTTCTATGTAAATTATTCTATTGTAATGGAATATTTATTTTTCAGATTTTATAAACAAACAATTAATTAACGTAATATTATTTAATAATATAGTGTACCTTTTGACTTTGACAAATTTGGAAGGTCTATGAAACAACGCGTTATAAGAGAACAGCGGTCATTTTGAGCATTTACTGAAATAAAAATTTTTGAAAGTTGTTGTAGTTCATTTACTGTGTTTATTAACTAAAATTTATAAATTTTAGTTGGCAAGACATTTTTAATAGCGTTTTTCTTAAAACCATAATTTTTTGTAGAAAACCAGAATTTGGAATTATTTAGCAAGGGAAAATATTTTATCGAGTTTTGTAAAGATACACTGAAAAAAAAAATTTCTTAAAATAAATTAAAATCGTTTAAGGATATTACAATATTAGCTTAAATCAAGAGCAAGCGATTTCTTGGAACTAGAACCAAAAATATTTCTTCGGAAGATATTTCTCTTTTGAATGAAGAAAACGTTTTTTAGCGCAAAAAAATGTGATTTTAAAAGTAAAACTTTCTAAGAAATAAAATTTGTCTTGCTACAAAAGCATATACTATTGACCCAACCACATTTTATTTTGATATTAGAGCAAATATCTCTTGGTCCAATAGTATGTACGAGCCCTAACCACATAATGTTCGGACACTTCATAATTTATACAGAAATTTTTTTCGTGAATACTATCTCAAAATTATTAGAAGTTATGAAAAATTCAGCTTATTTTGGCATATACCCCTCGAAGCGATTTTTATTTTTAAAAAGTTTACCTTTTATTTTTAGCTTTTAAAAAAAGGCTAACTTTTTAACTTTTTTTTGCATGAGTAAAAAAAGTTATAAATGGGCCCATTAAAAAGAGCATAAAATATTATACAAACCCTGAAAATTTGGTAAAAAATAAATAAGTTATAAAAAAGTATAAGTAATTTAAAAATGCTATTTTTAAAGAGTTTTTGCAATTTTCTTAGGAAACGGGAGATTTTGCAGATATATATATCGCTATAACTTTCTTATTATTTATACAATTTTTACCAAATTTTCAGGGTTTGTATAATATTTTATGTTCTTTTTAATGGGCCCATTTATAACTTTTTTTACTCATGCAAAAAAAAGTTAAAAAGTTAGCCTTTTTTTAAAAGCTAAAAATAAAAGGTAAACTTTTTAAAAATAAAAATCGCTTCGAGGGGTATATGCCAAAATAAGCTGAATTTTTCATAACTTCTAATAATTTTGAGATAGTATTCACGAAAAAAATTTCTGTATAAATTATGAAGTGTCCGAACATTATGTGGTTAGGGCTCGTATTGCTTTATTCAAAAGCTGATCTATACTGAAACTACCAGCGTTGTTAGTATTATTGAAACATGCTTTTAACAATTAAAATCAAAGACCTTCGTAGTGAGGGGAGTTCAAGCCTAAATATTGGCATCGTTGAAAACTAGAAGATTGACTGGAAAAAAGGTTTACAAAAAAATATTTAAATAAAATAAGACATTTATTGTTTGATATCAACAAAAGCGCAAGTTTTTTATACTAACACTAATAAAGTAACATAAAATTTTTATAACATATTTTAATTAATACCTTACCTTCAAAAACATAAAACAAATTAATTAAATTTTTTTATTTAAAAAGAGTTTTAATGATTCCAACTACAACCGCAAAAATGTATATGAGAAATACCTATAATAGAATTATAATATTATATCACTGCCCCTAGAAAATGGCGAATTGCAAGTTGCAATGATACAAAACGTACTAAACACGTGTGCCGCAAACGGTGTGCGTGTTTTGCATCCCCTCCCATGTATCAGAAGTGGGATAATTGTGATGTATCTTGAATGTATTGCGCAAATATGAATAATTTTCATAGCTTTTGAACAAAAACACTTTTCACTTGGTTGAAAGAAAAATTCAGGAGATTGTATTTGTTTTGAAGATAACTATACTTCTTTTTTCTTCAAGCTAATTATTTTTTATCAAGATAGTTGACTACTGTAGTTTAAGGGCTCCTTCATTTTCAGTGTATAGAAGTTATTGTTATTGTTTTTGCGTATAACAAAACATATCTTATAACAAAAAGGACGGGCGTGCGTGATGCAAAAATTAAAAGCGCCCGGCGCGCCGGGCGGGCGTAATTTTGTATAAAACGGTGAAGCGCTTCCCGGCTGGGCTCAGATGAAAACAAAACTCGTTTAACGATAGACACACGGCGAACGTTTCGAAAGTTAGCGCGTGTCACTTGTTTTATTATTTAGTGAACGTTGTGATTTTTTTTGTGGTTTTTGACTTTTCGCGTACAAAAACAACCGACAACATGGCCAGATTAGCCAAATTCATTATGCCGGAGAAATTCGAGGACAAGCTCAGCAAGCTTAGCTTCAGTAGCGATTATGGGGTAAACATTTATTATTTATTTAATGCAAATATTTTGGCAGTGCAAAATAAAATGTTGTTGGTCATTTGTAAATTCTTAATTTGTTTTTAATTTTCAAGCAAAATATGTTGTTGTTTTAAATTATAAAAAAACCCTAAATTTTTAATATTTTCTTTTATTTTTAATATTAAAAGTAAAAAAAAAATTTAATGACATATTAAAGTTATTTACCTAACACCATGTATATTTGAGTGCATAATAATTTGTACAACGTTTTAAATTTTATTACTTTAAACCACTTGATAAAGTATCCATTAAAAACAAATTTTTGTATTAACCAAAATTTCCAATATATTTGCTGGTGTAGGTACTTAATTGTTTGTAAATTTATTCCAATACAAATGTATATACGTGTAAGTACACAAACATGTAATTTAATTAGAGAAATCTCGCTAATAGGACATGCATTCATTTCCCGAATCCACGTACTTAATACCAAGCAATAATAATATTTTGTGAAATAAGTAAAATACCTTTACAAATAATATTAGTGATAAAAAACAAACAGCGTCATGAAATATATAAAGATTAGTTTTATTGAAAATCAAAGAGCTTAGAATACGCAAAAATGCTATAATCACGACCACATTTCACATTAGAATCGCGTATAGTAAGGTTTCTTATAAGTGCGCAGCCGATTTATTATATTATTATTGTCAATTTATTAAACAAAAACGCAGCAGCATCTAACAAAAGCTCAGAAGTCAAGGGTCAATTTTATATTACTCTCTTAAAATGAATTAGTCAAAAATAACTAATTATAAGTCATAGTTACTAATAATTAGTCAAATTTCACTGAATGAAATAGTCAAATTAGTAGATTTAAGTTTTAAAAAAGTTTTGACCCAGACGGGGATTGAACTCAGGTCTGTCACTTGTCAAGCTTGTCAAGCTGTAGTCATAACCAATGTGGCTATCAGTCGCTCTTATAAAAATCAATTTTATTTGTCAATAAATATTGTTCATTATATTTTAAAGTTGAATATATTATTTGTGTTGTTGTTTTGAGCTAAACTTGTTGCATCTTTGTTTGTTTTTATGGGCCATTTAATGCATTTAATTAAAATAATACTTTGTTGTTGGCCGCAAACGATTAAAGAAATTAGTAACTTTTAACTCTCAGAAATAGTCAAAGATGGTGACTAATCTTAAATTAGTCAAACTTTAACTATTTACGTAGTAAAAAATAACTATTTAAAAGTAAAAACGACTATTTTATTAGTAAAAAATCCTGGTACTAATTCAAATAGTAGAATTTTGACCATTTCATTTTAAGAGAGTAAGAAACGCTGGCAAAAACAACATAGAAAGCGAAAATCAGATAAGGCCTACTCTCTAAAAATAAATTAGTCAAAAATGACCAACTTAATAGTTATTAGTGGCTGTTTTTTTCACTTGTACCATGGTTAACCATGGATTACCATGACATCTCAAAATTGAACAGCCAATTCTTATGTAAAATTGTCCCCTGAATCCGAAAATACCGTCAAAAATTATGAAAGTGGAGCAGTTTTTTAGATAGTCAATTCCATATTAAATGAAAAATTGACTATATCTCAAAAACTGTTGTACTTTTTTAACTTTTGACGAAATTTTCGGATTCAGGGAACAATTTTACATAAGAATAGGCTGTTAAATTTTGGGATACCATGGTATTTTAATAACTATTAAATTAGTCATTTTTGACTAATTCATTTTTAAAGAGCACATTTTAGAAAATATAACGTTACCATCAGTAAAAGAAGTTTTTCCCGACAATTTAACATTTCACATGTAAGAAAATTACATGGCACTCACAACTATTTATATTCATTAATTTTTATTACCTCTTATAGTATTAAATAGTATGGCAGCTAATGGTTCTACAATGAAGGATTACATTATTACATTACTAATTACATCTTTTTTTAAATGTCTTTCGTAATGTAAAATATGCAGCTTTGACCAACATTTAAATCAGCAACTGGGAAAAGCCAAACTGAATTAATTTTTTTTAAAATCCATAACACCCAAAAATCGTTCACATTTGGATGACGTCAACTGTAAATACCTAATACAAAATTAATACACCGATGTTTTATTTTACAATTAAAATTATGACTTTACATAATAAAAATTAAATTTTTGGTGCCAGGGGCGGATCCAGTAGTATTTAGGGGGAATCAAAATAAAATAAAAATTCTTTGGAATTGAAAAAAATATATTTTCTTAGAAATTTACACACATTTATGGTGATGGTATACTTTTATTTGTATTTACCTACCATCACCATATTTTGTTTTTATATTGGCCTTCATTTTTTTCTACCTAACCATATAAAATTCCAATATGGCAGCCGTAGGAAAAAAAACACACTGAAAAAAAAAGAAAAAAGTTCTTAGTGGAAGAAGTATCGTTCTCTTGAAAACAAATGCAAAATCTCTTGAAAGTTCCTAAGCTTTTCAATTAAGAGATGCAGTTTTCTAGTTAAAATCCCATTTTTTGCCCGTGACTAAAAACCTGTTACTAACTTTAACCCGTGACTAAAGTTCCATAGCCACAACTTGTCTATTGATGTAAGGACTTAAAGTTTAACAAAATTTAGTTTTATACTAAGAAAAAACTAATATCCTTGTTAACTTTTCCCATAATTAAATATTTACAGGAAATCTGTTCGATAAAAGCTTTTTTGGATAGGTATTTTGCATTTTTTGTCCTAGAGCATTAATTAATATATTTAATTATATAGCATAGCAGCTACTTAAACTTGTAGCACCTAGTTATCATAAAAAAATCTAAGATAATCGTTAGACCGCTAGAAAATGGTAAGAAAACCTCATAAATCGTAGTGTTTCAATGCAATATATTTTTAAATTACATTGGTAAAGAACTATGTACGTATAGGTTCTATAAATAAATAAAACTATTTTATAAAAACTTAAATTATTCAATTTAATTTGTTTTCGCAAGGATTGTTATCACTTGACAAGTGCGGCGCATCGTTTAAGGACATCAGGACCTTTGTCCCTATGAATAATTCAGAAGCACAAGTGTTTACAGGCGAAATTCATGTCAAGGTTACCACATTTAATATTAAGGACCTCATTCAAAAATTAATCCTTAATCGATGGCACTTTCCGGCTACCCCAAGTGCCCATTAAATATGAAATATGCTGGATAAGATTATATGAGACATTAAAGAAGTTAGTGAACATTTGATGAATATAATGACCTGATAGATGGTTTTGGAATTTATAAATGTTTATTTGCAATGTTTATAAACGAGTTGCATATTATACTTTTCCACCCCCACCTTTAAAACGCAAAGGGCGAGCGAGTGCTTAAATTAATGAGTGTATAGAAAAGTTTATAAACGAGGTGCAAATACTTATTACTATCTTAAAATGATTTAAATCAAAAATTTGTATAGAGCGCCATCTATGAAACAATGGGGGAAACTGTGTGTCACCGTCAAATGTCACATTTTTTTATTTTATAAACACAATTATAAAGGTTATAAATCTAAATGTATTTCTTGAAAATTGACAGTTTTTCACAGTGAAAGTAAAGAAAATGTTTTATGAGGACTTTACAGTAGAGTCCGTGCCCGAATTTAAGTTAAGTTAAGGTCAGTACAATGTTCATATAAACTTTTGGCGTTGGCGTTGAGAAACTATTTAATACTTTTGTATATTTGTATTGAAATAATAAAATAATTTTCACATTTAGTTTACAAGAAAGGCACTTTATTTTAACGATTGCATGATATTTGACAACTGTCAACTAACTTAAAACTAACTTCAGCCCATGACTAAAGCGCCATAAAGCCACAACTTGTCAATGTGTATTTAAAAGGTCACTTAGTGTCATGGAAAGATGTACTATAATGGGCGTTTTTAAGGTGGGAGTAGAAAAATTACGTTAAAAGATTTTAGAAAATATGATTGATAAACATATCAATCTTCTAAAGTAAAATTGATGTCAGGACTTGAAGTTTAATAAAACTTAATTTTATACTAAACAAAAACGAATATCCTTGTTTACTTTTCTCATAATTAAATATTCAAAGGAAATCTGTTCGACAAACTGTATTAAACTTTTAATAAAGCCCACACAAAATGCATAGAAAATTACCCAACAGTTTTATCTACGGAACGGAAATTTAATTACTCTCGGAAATATTGCAAGCCTCCCTTGTTATTAATTAAAGTTTAAACGAAAAAGTTTTCACGTTAAAAATTCTTATTTCAAGGTGGTTTAAACTCATAAAATATTAAAATATGTACAGTTGACGACATCCAAATGTGAACGATTTGAATTTTTTTAAAAGAAAGTAATTTCTGTAAGTCTGGCTTTTTCCACTTGCTGATTTAAATGTTAGTAAAAGCCAAAGACATTTAAAAAAAGGTGTAATGAGAACGAAAACCATGATCCCTTTGAACATATCAGTAAAAATCCTTTTGGATACTAATACTTTATTGCAGAACCATTAGCTTCCAAATCACTCCAGTTTACTGGACATGGACATAATTAAATGTCGCATGCTGCGTGAATCAACAAGCTCTTCCCAAGCATACGTTCTCAATAGGGTTCAGGTCTGGACTTCTTGCTGGCCATGGCAAAACATTTAACCACAATTTAAACAAACAATCAAGTAACCAGATTTCTTCCTGTATTGATTTGTGCAAGTTTTGACTTTAGACAAATAAGAAAATATTTTTGTTGCTGTGAATTTAAAGAAATGCGGAACCAATAGGTGCATAAGAACGATTTTGAAAGCGCGGCTTTTACCAATGTAAGGTGTTTACCTAAGGTTATTGACAATGAAAACGGATCAAGGCCAAGGTTAAGGATTTTATATGGATTAACATTCTTTCGATATGTTGTGTACATTGTCATAATTTTCATTACATTTAATCTATTTTATTAACAATTTAATGAGCGACAAGGTGTAATAACGATAATAATATTATTAATTTATAATTTATGTAAAACGAATCAAGAACTTTTAACGCTTACTTATGTTAATACACTGACTAATAAATAAACCTATTGTTACCGATTAAGAAAAAATGTTAAGCAATAAATTGTTGTAAGAAGCAATAAACGTCCTTTCTAACTCAATTGATTGAATGTATTGTTACTGAGAAACGAATAAAGGGCAGAAAAATTAACAGTCTTCATAAATGTAGAAAATATGTTTTTTTATCTGGACTGCGGCAACGTTGCAAATTTAGGGGTTTGGTTGGTAAATACAGAACCAAAATTGGTTGCATTGATTAAAACCCACACAAAAAGTAGTTAAATATAGGTGACTACGACCCCATGTTAACAAACTACAAACTCATGAAAATAAATCTGATTTTTATAACAGTGTATTATACACCCTGTATATTAAAAACATTTTTTTCTTTTTTTCCAGTCTGCAGACAGCATGTCAATTCCATCGACCCCAACGACTCCGAGCAGCCCACTACCTGACTTCGACATCGAGATAATTCAAGAAAGCGACAAAGATGAGGTTTTGAAATTTTTGCAGACGTTTTTTTTCAAAGACGAACCCTTAAACCACTCCATCAATTTGATTAATGACGAACACCCGAGGTGTATGGACTTGGAGAAATATTCATTAAAAGGTATATACCTTTTATATACCTATAGGTATATACCTATAGGTATCACCCAAATGTAGTTTTTATATTTCTTTTTCGTCTTCGAGATTTTTTTTAAATATCATTGAAAATGTCCTACTAAAGAAGTTTTTTGATCCTCTAAAAATTTTTCGAAAAATTTCACTTTATATTTCGAAAACCAATCTTGGTAAATTTTTTGTAAACAAGGATTATATTTTTTATTAAATTGTTTTAATAAAAATCTTCATAATATAAAAAATTTACGATTTAAAACAATTGTTTGATATTAAATAAAACGTTTTTCAAAAGTACAAAATTATCTGGAAAAAATGAATATTCAACAAATCTTTATTAAAAGATACCAAAAATTCAGAAAATCATAAAAAAAGATTTAAAAATTAGGTATTTAAAAAATTGCGAAAATCATAAAAAAAATTCTACAATATTCTACTTTTTCTACGACAAATACCTATTATTATCTTAAAATGATTTAAATCAAAAATTTGTAAAGAGCGCCATCTATGAAACAATAGGGTAATCTGTGTGTCACCATCAAATGTGAAATTTTTATATTTTATAAACACAGATTATAAAGGTTATAAATCGAAATGTATTTCTTGAAAATTGACAGTTTTTCACAGTGAAAGTAAAGAAAATGTTTTATGAGCACTTTACAGTGTAGTCCGTGTCGAAATTTAAGATATAGTTTACTGCCGGCGAAATTAAAAGGTCAGTACAATGTTCATATAATCTTTTTAAATATTGGCTTTGAGAAACTATTTAGTACTTTTGTATTTTTTTATTGAGATAATAAAATAATTTTCACATTTAGTATTATTTTACAAGAAAGGCACTTTATTTTAAGGATTGTATGACATTTGACAACTGTCAACTAACTTAAAACTAACTTCAGCCCGTGACTAAAAACCTGTTGCCATAAAGCCACAACTTGTCAATGTGTATTTAAAAGGTCACTTAGTGTCATGGAAGCATGTACGATAAAGGGCGTTTTAAAGGTGGGAGTAGAAAAATATTTTTAAATGAAAATAACAAAGAAATGGTAATTTTATTGTTATTTTCAATGGAACACCCTGTATATTTTTGAATGTTTAGATACAGCTTTATAAATGTTTGAATTAAACATTTTATTAATAATTGAATTGAAAGAATTGAAAAGATTTAAAAAAATGTCAATGTTGTTTTATAAAATTTACCGATGCATTTTTGTTTTTCAATTTTTTAAACTTTTTTAAACCATGCAAGCAGGATTTTAAATTTTCCCGATATCTCCTCTAATAAAGATTTAATAGGGGTGTCTCATTTATAAGAAAACACCCTGTACATAATGTTAGTTTTATATTTTTTCTTTAATTTATTATTATGTACATTAACATTAATATTTTTTTTCTCTACCATTTTTGCATTTTAATAAAAAAATTATGACATTTTTTTTACAAAACCAGAGATCCACTGGATGTCACTGAAATTCCATACTTTATCTATTTTTCGCTCATAATGACTTTATTATAACACCGCTTTCGGTGCTGCCCACCCAAAATTTTGATTTTATAGGTTGGCTATACTTTAAACAGCATAATATTTTGCATATTGGTTATAATATTTCATGATTTTTCTAGTACTTACGAGACTTTTTTGGCAATAAATATTGTTTAACACCAAAGAAAATCCTTTTTTTCATCTTTAACATTAACAGCCGCTTTTTGTAAATAAGTAAATTAAGGACGGCATGGCGAATCTATTTTGACTTTAACTGTCAAACCAATGACTGTGATACCAACTATCTATTATCTACGACGAACACAAATAGGAATTTAAAGCCAATTTGATTTGTTAAAAAATTGACATCTGTCAACTGATTTAACCTCACTTGGTCCCAATTTTTAATAAAACTAACTTCAGCCCGTGACTAAAATGCCCAAAAGCTTGTCAATGTGGGAGTAAATAAAATGTTATATTGTATTATAGCCACAGCTAACCCTGACATCTTTCTAGAACTTAACAACGGCCTAAACCTAAAGGCAGTGCTAGACGGCAAGATGATCGGCGTGTGTCTTAACGGTATACTCGAGCGAGGATTCGTCGACGAAATCGACCTTAACGACGACAGCGTCAAGCACCCGAAATTTTCCAAAATCGCCAAACTGCTCGACTTCGTTGCCAAAGACAGCGACGTGTTCCAGCACTTTCCCGACTGTGAAAAAGCAATGTCCGTGAAAATCATTTCCGTGGACACGACGTTGAGAGGCAGGGGACTGGCCAAACACTTTATGTTGAAAACCAGGTAAGAAGAGTTCTTTATTATATATTTTCGAAATTCCAAAAATTACAACTTTTAATAATCAGCTGTCAAACGCGTATGTGTATTGTGGTTGAATTCCCAAAATGCTATCGAGCGCCACCAGATGGCGCGCGCGTTTTAAAAACCCGATGCTTCTTATACGTAAAAAAACGTTTTTACGAAATTGTTCGTTGACAAAATGTCATGCCGTTTTTTTGTATAATTAGGAATAAACATTTATTTCCAAACTGGTTAAAGTAGAAAAATCAGGCTTTATACTTAATAATTATTAAAGTTCTTAAGAATTATACCATGTCAAATTAAAAAGTGATACTAAGAATGTTCAAAATTTCAAAAAATTTAAAAACATTAAATTAAACCCACAATTTTTTTTTAGAATTTTCATGAATTTATAATTTATAAAAATTTTCAAAAGTTTTATATTTCTTAAAATTAAATTTCTGATGTTACTAATAAAAATGATGTTATTAAATAAATCAAATAATAGTATATTATGTATCATTTTAGTAACGAGTTTAATTAGGCACGAGCGAAGATTGCGAGCAAGTGTTTAATAAAAACGAAATTTATAAAACGAATGCATACTACACTTTATATACGACGAACAAAAAGAAGAATTTAAAGACAATTTTATGTGTTAAACATTTGACATCTGTCAAATGTCAACGGATTTAACCTCACTTTTCCCCAATTTATGATAAAGTTAACTTCAGCCCGTGACTAAAATGCCCAAAAGCCACTGTTGCTAACTTCAGCCCGTGACTAAAACGCCATTAAGTCACAACTTATCAATGGCGGAGTAGATGAATAAAATTAATAGCACTAAACATTTTGAATTCTTTAAGAAAACTTAATACAAAATAATTAAATAAAAGCATACCACGAATTTAAATAAATTGTCCAACACCTGTCATTTTTGACACTTGTCATTTGAAATGTCAAAATTGTCAAAATTGGCAGGCGGCAAAAATAATTTGAAATTACTCATTTCTAATTATTTTTGCCGCCTGTTATTTTTGACACATGTCAATTTTGAGAAATGTCAATTTTAACATATCGCGACCTGAGAATTAGATTGTTCTATCTCCCAAAATTTAAAGAGGAACAAATAGCAGTTTAAAGTTTAATTTATATACAAATGAAATTTTAAAAAGCTGTTTTTCCGTGTCAGATTTTTAAAAGATAGATTCTCCCAAAACCTAAACACGCAAAAACAGCTTTTTAAAATTTCATTTGTATATAAATTAAACTTTAAACTGCTATTTGTTCCTCTTTAAATTTTGGGAGATAGAACAATCTAATTCTCAGGTCGCGATATGTCATTTTTGACACATCGCTACCTCGGAACAACAGGGTTCTATCTGACAAATTGTACATCTTGTGGTATAAAAGTTTGAAATACAAATAGTGGAATAAACTTTTCCTATACAATTTATTAACCCGTCTTTTTTGACACTTTTGACATTTTCATTTTTTACGCCTGTTATTTTTGACACCTGTAATTTTTGACATTTGTCATTTTTGACATGTAATTTTAGGAACCTCATTTTTGACACCTCTTATTTTTGGACCTGTAATTTTTGAACTGTCATTCTTAAAATCTGTCATTTATTGACACCTGTCATTATTAACACATATCATTTGTTGACACCTGCCATTTTTGACCTGTTAGTTTGGAGACCCGTCAAATAATACATTATAGACCAGGAGGAGAAAGCACATATTATCGTCTAGCATAAATTTCACTGCCGAGGCAACTTTCCAACTTCATTTTTTCCAACTTCATTTTTTGTTTTGTTTTGTTTACAAAATTTGTATACAAAACATGTAGTAAGAAATGCATGGCTGTCTAGACCTACTTCGTACAGTACCAACAGTAATTTATCTCTCCGTTTCTTTAAATTTGCCAGTCACTTTCGCAAATGTCAGCATTATAAGTATGTCAAATATTATTTATGATTATTTTCTAATATTAATTATTATGCAATTTAAAATAACCCGCAATCAAATTTGGTTTGATTTTAATTTCAATTTTTTTTGCTTTCGTCCTTGGGCGTTTGAATTTATAATAAGTATTAGAGAAGTTTTATGGCTTTTGTATGTGGCTGTAAATATTTACTTATTATAATTCTTGTATTATTGTTTTTATTTGTCGTGTAATTAAAGTATACTTACCCAAGGCTTTCATCAAAAACCAATAATATTTTTTTTTATAAAAATCTTCCAACAAGAAAATATAAGTTCGTGTGATGCGTACACTTGCGGACCGCGCACTTATGAGACAACCAACCCTACTGAAAACTTCTAAATCCTCTATAATCCATCAAAAGTTGTGCTCCCAATTTCGTCTCGCCAAATTTAATTAGGTATCTAAACTTGTTCACGAAAATGGACCGGCTCCAAATATCGCACACCTATTGCCAGAAAAATAAATGTACTTAAGTTTGAAAAACGCGTCTCGTTAAAATAACACAAAAGGAAATTTTCACCGTGACATTAAAATATTTACGAAGATAGCGTTTTTTCTTTCCGCTCGTTGCAAATGACAGGGTCAGGGTCCCTGTTAAACGCCTTGAAGGTCGCTTTTTCATTTCATTTTCTCTCTCGAGGAAAAATCTAATTTCCCCTTGTGCCGAGTCGTCAATTCTTCAATTATTATGCTTTATTTTATAAGTAAAAAATATAAATATGTTTTAAGCTTAAATCTTAAGATTGTAAATTCTTGGATTTGTTACTATATTGTATTACAGCGTAAAATTTCATGAAAAACGAGCCGTCACACGATATACTTCGCAGCGCAACTGCAAAAAACAAAAGAAACAATCCGATTGTTTTCTTGGCAAAGCCGACTACGTTTTTTTTGCAATCTTTATGCAAAGTATGCCATGCGACGGCTCATTTTGAAGCATTTTTTGCCGCCTAAACAAAAATGTTTTAATTTTAGGGATTTGGCGAAAGAACACGGCTGTGGCTTTATGACGGTGGATTGTAGCAGTCACTTCAGTGCAATGGCTTTGGCCAAGTTGAATTTCAACTTGACTTACACACTGAAATATTCCGACTACAAAGTTGATGGTAAAGTTGTTTTCCATCCGGAGGAACCCCACACCGCCGTCACTGTGTACACCCAAAGGGTCAAGTAATTTTATTTGGCGTGATAATTTTTTTTTGCCACGGGTTTAAATTTGACGCACAAAATTTAAATGAGTTGGTTTGCGAAAGTACAATTATTGGTACCTATCTACATTCCATTTGTTAAATAGATAAGTATAAAAATATTTATTTTTAAGTTTAATGAAAACATATTTGTGATTCCCTTTGTATATAGGTATATATATATATATATATATAGTAAAGATGTATACGTAATATTGTAAAAGTTAGTTTGGATTGGAGTCAATAAAATTTTATATAAAATGTTACAGCGTTTGTTTTTAAACGCGAAATTTGTTACACTACACGAAATTGTGCCAAAAATAATTTACATTTGATTACATTGCTATTATTACTTGTTATTTTTTTCGACAACGAAATTAAATGTCAACTAGTGAGTAATGATAATTATTTTAGCTAGGTATGTATTTCCTGTAATTTGTGATGTTTACAGAGTAAATAAATATGTATAAACGTTTTAATTTTTGTTTTATTTCCTTATTTATTTAATAGTTGTTCAAAGTAATTGATGTTTTATTATGGGTATTTATAATGAGACGCAAATTGTTAAAAAATATATTTAAAAAATTATAATGACATAAATTAAAATAAACAATAAACATGATATATAGATAATATGAAAAACCTTTTTAATAATTAAGGCTTATACAGTAAAATTCTCTTAGTACTCTATGTTTGGCTTTATCTTCTGTAGCTAAAATAATAAAATAATATTATGTACAGTGGTGGAAAAAAGTATGGAATATTTTTAATATTTGGATTTTAGGCCCCTAACAATTTTTAAAACTTTTGTTATTTGGTTACAAGAAATCTTGTTTAATTATAATGTGTAGCGTACTATTTAATTGCTGCATATCATTGTTTTGTTTGTTTTTTTTATCTTCTGAGTTTTTGCTTGGAAAAAAGTATGGAATAATCTTTCAATTGCGACCAGTTTTGCATTAGTTCTTAATATTTTCGCACAATTCTAGTACGTTTCAACGTAATCATGCCTAAACACGTTTACTTTTCAGTTCAATTTAGGCAAAAAATAGTTGAACTTTATCAAAGTGGCCGAACGCAATCTGATGTGGCAAAAACATTAAATATTAGTCAGAGTGCTGTTTGTAAAATTTTGAGTAAATTTCATACTCAAGGTGGTGTTGAGACTCGACGCAAGTCAGGACGTCCCAGAAAAACTACTGTCATGATAGACCAAACAATAAAAAGACTCTCTCTTAAAGATCCTCGGAAGACATCAAGACAAATTACTGAAGAAATATCCACACAATTTAATCTTGATGTGACGAGCAGAACTGTGAGAAATCGCCTAATTGATGCGGGACTACATGGTCGAGTTGCCGTTAAAAAACCACTGCTTTCGAAGAAACACAGAGCTGCCCGTCTGGCATTTGCCAAATCCCACTTGAACTGGACTCAGGCAAAATGGAACTCTGTACTTTGGAGCGATGAAAGTAAATTTAATTTATTCGGTTCTGATGGTAGAACGTTTGTGAGACGGCCAGTAGGACAGAGATACAATTTTAAATACCAAATTCCCACTATTAAACATGGTGGAGGAAGCATTATGGTTTGGGGATGCTTTTCTGGATCCATGGCTGGACCATTGATTCAAGTAGAGGGTATAATGGATCGTTTCCAATACAGGGACATCTTAGAGAATACCATGTTACCATTTGCCGAGGAAGAGATGCCACTTTCTTGGATATTTCAACAAGACAACGATCCCAAGCACACCTCGAAAATTGTTAAAGAGTGGTTTTTGGTAAAAGACGTAACTGTGCTTGAATGGCCCTCTCAGTCCCCCGATCTCAATCCCATTGAGCACCTTTGGGAAATATTAGACCGTCGAATTCGAACAAAAAACATTGCAAACAAAAACGAACTTCTCCAAACCATAAAGGAAGAGTGGCAACAAATTCCTTTGGACACATTGCAGAAACTGGTGGATTCTATGCCTAGAAGATGTCAAGCGGTTATAGATGCGAAAGGTTACGCCACAAAATATTGAATTATTTGATTTTTTGTCAATTTTTGATCAATATGAATAAAATATTCCATACTTTTTTCCAGAACACATTGCATTTTTTTACAAAATATCGAAATAAGCCGTTGTATATAAAGGAAATATTGGTTAATTGACTATTTCTACGCTAAATTAACTTGCTCAGATTTTAAACAGATTATGGACAACGTTAATTTAAAATAATACAAAGTACAAAAATATTCCATACTTTTTTCCACCACTGTACATAAAATCAACATAAAATTCTCAAAAAACGTATTTTTTAACAAAAACTATGCTTCTTAAGGCAAATAGGAAAAATTCGCACAGGAGGACAAATTTGCAAGGGTGGGGCAAATTTTCAAAATCTTAATTTTCAAACAGAAAAAAAACGTGTTTTTTTTCAAAATCGATACAATAATTTACAATAACTTTGTAGAAAAAAGTAAACACATTTTTGTAATATATTTAGTCTTCTGTAAAAAAATAATATTTGAAGTCTTCCAAATTTAAAATTTTGGCAAAAATTATTTTGATATAATTTTTAAATATTTTAATCGTTTTTGGCACCTTAAAAATAAATTAGTGTAAAAGCGTTATTAATATAAATATTATTTAATTATAAAACCATTTTGTTAAAATTTTAAATTTTGATGACTTTAATTTCACACATCTCTTAAAACCGTAGTTTTAGAAATTTGATTTATGACGTGTTTTGTGGAAAACTAAATTTCCCACAAAAAATGTGTTCACTATTTTTTTTTCTCAAGTCAACAGTTTACAAGTTTCTTAATTATATTTTAGTGCTAAATTAAATTTGTTTTTTTGCGAAAACGTGGCCAAAAGGCCAAAACTAAAAATATATATATAAATATAAAACGTCAAAAAAACAATTTGAAAAAAAATTTTAAAAACCTGAAAACGAAATAAAAACGGATATTTTTCTTCAGTAAATAATATAAATTTCTGTGCACTGTACTTAAAATCTAAATTAAAAAAAGTGTACCATGATTGAAATACCAAATAAGACATGATTAAATCTTTAAATATTTTAAAATTATAAATTTGTTTTCCATCGTCCTAAAATAACAACTTGTCTATATGGTGTCACAAAAGGTAATTCCAAAGCATACTTTCCTTAACCATTTTATCGAATTCGCAAAATCGCAGGAGTTATATAATTTGTAATTTGGGATGCCTACCTTCATTCAAACAAACACTGCGCTATTATTGGCGCTTTAAAAGTTTAATAAACCATGCCATTTTTGAATTCAGGAAAATTTACCTTAACCCATTGGGCAGTCAAATTTGTGTACATAAAAATAAAATAATAAAATTCATGTTTAAAAATTCTTTGTTTAATATATTTGTTATTAATAATTATTATTATTATTATTATTATTAATTATTATTGTATTTACTTGATTTAAGACGAAAAAATCAATTAAAATAGTATATTATGTATCAAGTTTTATAAACGCCATTTTAATGACGAGTTTTATTGGGCACGAGCGCAGCTTGCGAGCGAGTGTTTAATAAAAACGCGTGTCTTTAAATTTATTTATTAATAAAAAAATACCCACCTTGCTTCTTTTTTGATTTCAATGTCTTCCATTTACGATTTATGAGTTGTAGGACTTAATATCCATTTATCCTTTTTGACACACACTCTAAAAGTAAAATTATTCCGTTTTGAACAAAAACAAAGGAAATAAATTTAAAACGCTGTTTATACAGGGTAATTAATGTAATATGTAAATTAAAATACTGAATACCTTTTTCCCAAAGATAAAGATTTTAGAATTTAGCAAAAACAAGTTTCAGGTGCTTCTTTATGGGTGGTTTTCAGTAACTTTTAAGATACCATGTCCCTGGGGTATTAAAATAAAACCTTTTTATTAGCCATCATTATTGTTTATAACAATATCCTATGAATTTATTTTTTAATTTTGGTTTTAAAACTCCCGTTTCACATGACCGTAGTATGTCCCTCGAGCAAACTCCAATATTTGCGATCTTATAAAAATTTAATTCAACTTTTAAGTAGCCAAAGAAAATGATATTGAACAAATGTTGGGTTTTTCGTGCTTTAAAATTGTCTTAAATAGCCATTTTTGTTAATGTTTAGGCTAAAAATAACAACTAAACGTTGTCCCGGCGTTTTCTTCACATGACCGACTTTTAGGTCGTCTACAAATGGCGACAATTAATTGTGCAGTTCAGTTAGCGATACATTTACAGTTCCTCTCGTGTATTTTGATATAGAAAAGGTAAGTTAAAGTTCTTCGTATTTTTTTTATTATCATGACCGTCTATATATCACTATAGTGATAAAATAGCAACATAAATAGTTATAAATGCAAATAAAAAAGTATGCGACGGTCATGTTAATAATTTGTTTATTGTCTATTTAAAACCCTTCTAAGTTTTATTTTTATGCACATTATTCTGGCATATTTGACCAAGTTACCTAAAAGAAAAGAGTCAGTTGAACTAAATTCGAACAATTTCTTTTTCAAAATTAAATCAGAATCTTAAAAGATACTGAAAACCACCATTATGGATTAACACCTTGCATAAATTAATATCTTAAAAAATACCATTGCATTCGTCCTGATCATCTACGATTTCCTCCATGATTTGCTGATTCAGCGAATAAATATGCGCCTCCTGCAGTTCCACCATCTCCTCCAAACTGTAAATCTCTCCCCTCAGATCCATGTTCTCTCTCTGCTTGCCCACGCACTCCTTCTGCAAGTTATTGTACTCCTCTTTGGCATCGGCGAGAATCAAGGTCAGCTCTCTATTCTTGCGGATCAGCAGGCGGTTTTCTTCCGCCAGAGCGCGCGCGCGATCTTCCTCTCGATTCTGATCTTCCTCTTGTTCGCTCTTTTCGTCCTCGTCGCTCTCCTCTTCTTCTTCGCTCACCAGATCGATTATTTCCGTAACTTCTAGATCGTCGTACTTGGCGCGTTTGTTTTTATAGTGCTCCCGCCATTTCGCGCGCTGACCAAAATTTTATCAAAAGGGCGAATAAACAATTTTTATATACCGCATATTCACTTGAAACATATACACTCGAGTGAAGCCGAGTGGCCCAGATCCCTAGTAGCAATTCCGGAAAAGTCTTGGCCCAGCATGGGTCAAGATACTTTGGACAGATTTTTGCTCAAAAATTGTACAAGAATGGTTCCAGATTCTTGGCCAAGATTATTGGGCAAGACTTGAGCCAGACTGTGGCCAGAATTTGACAAGAATTTGACCAGAAATCTGAGGCCATCTATTGCTAAACTTTGGGACTATCCTATAGAGTAGAGGTTCTCATTCTACACTAGTATCATTCACAATAATGTATACTACTTAGTCGAGAAGTGAGTTCTCTGTAGGAAATGAGTAGGTATAGTTTTTTTATTTATGTGAAAATACGAATAAGAGCTTATTGGATTCGTCTTCTAGCTAAGAAAAAAATTGATTTTTTGAAAAATAAAAATTGTTATTTCTAAAAATCAAAAATTAAAAAAAAAAGTGTGTGTCAGCTCTGACGCATAAATAGAGTTTACTCTTTATGAACATGAAAGATTATAAAATACATGTTTATTTTTACGGGGACCTGGTTTTTTTTGAACATAGAAAATTAAAAACTTTAACTCTTTCAAAATTCGTTTCGTTTTTAATTCTATTGTTTACCAGATTTATGGATAAAAACCGAATTTACTGGAAAGAAATCGTGAAAAATTAATGTTTTTAGTAACATTCTTAACTTTTGAAGTTCAACAAAATTTTGTATTGACCAAAAATCTTGAATTGAAAGTTCCTATTTCACGTGTAATCGTGTAAAAATTCTTGGCCAAGAATCTGGTCAAATTCTGGTCACAGACTTGTCCAAGTCTGCCACCAGTCTGGATAAAGAATTTTGATTAAGAGTCTTGGTCAAGAATTGTCCAATTCTTTACAAAGTGCTTCTCCAAGTATCTTGACAAAGAATCTTGTCCAATTCCATTGCTACTCCCCAGATTGCGGATTTCTATAGGCGACGATTCAGTTATAATTTGCATTTGCTAGTGTGTATTTCAAGCGTTTTAACATAAATTAATTTTTTTTATATAAAATTATAAGTTATAATGTCCTACATATTGCAAGAGAAAATTGACATGATAAGCTGATCTTTAGTGGACAATTTTCTACGTTATGGAAAGCCAAAGTATTTTTTAATCGTCAATTAAAAATATCACATTTGAATTTCCGATATTACAAATTCAATTTCTGATATCATAAATTAATTTCCGATATCGAAAATGTCTTAAAAAAATTAACAACTTCTTAAATAAAAATGTATTTTTTCTAATCCATATTATTTGTAATTCAAACAATTAAGAAATAACATTGTAACGAACATTTTTATTTAAAATTAAAAATATTAGGATTAATTAAGAATTCAGATAAATGATCAACTGAAAAATGTTTAAAATACCTGGATAAATAATTTAAATAAACTTAAAATTTTAATGTTATTTCTTAATTGTTTGAATTACAAATAATATGGATTAGAAAAAATATATTTTTATTAATTTTTTTAAAAAATTTTCGATATCGAAAATTAATTTCTGATATCAAAAATTAATTTGCGATATCGAAAATTAATTTTTAATATCACAAATTAATTTTCGATATCGCAAATTAATTTCTGATATCAACAATTATTTTGCGATATCGAAAATTAATTTTTAATATCACAAATTAATTTTCGATATCGCAAATTAATTTTTGATATCAGAAATTGAATTTGTGATATCAGAAATTGAATTTGTGATATCGGAAATTCAAATGTGATATTTTTAATTGGCGTTCCTTATATTGGGCCTTTACAGGATTTTTTTTAATAAAAATATTAATTTTGATAAAATGCTGTCGTGATAAGGTCTTGCAATGCAAATTAAAATTATACTAAGTATTATTATTATATTATTAAAATTATACTATATAAATATCACCTATAGGTGATTCTACAAAAGTTGGACAGCTTGATGTCATTAGTCAATAGAGTAGGTATTTTAATATTTTTTGTAAATATTTTAGTATATTACAAAAGATCCAGGTTTTTTTAACTTATCCACCCAATTTTAATGTATTTTTTCAAAAGCACGTTTGTAGAAAAACATAATAAATATTCAAAACATCAGTACCTTGGCGTGTCACAACTCCTGAATCAAATATTTGAGTGGTTTTACTTTAAAATATATTCAATTTATCTTAAATTGTTCAATTTTACTACAAAACATTAAATAATGTATTTTTCATATTTTATCATAGATTCGAATAATAGCAATTTGTATCTTTGTACTCACTTTTACCCGTCAGTTCTGTGTCCAATGTTAAAATTCAAAAGTCCTGCGAAATATTGCAGTTTAAACGTCGTCCTCGTTTTAACTCAAGTGTAAAAAATTACCTACAGAGCCCGCCCTTTGCACGACAGTCATCTTGAAAACAACGCAAGCGGCGAAGTTGTGGTGAATACACGTATAGTTCCAGTCAAAATTTCAGTACTGTGGTGAGTAGTTATTTTCTTACGTATAGGTATATATTTCATTGTAATTTAAATAAGGCTATATGTGATTTGTTGATAAGTAGCATCCACTAATAAAAAATATCAGTAATGTACTTAATTCCGAATTATAATCTCAAATTTGTATCCCATTCATCAGTACCATGTCGTCAGTTCCATGTTCGGTTATCTTTTTTTCGCAAACTTCAATTTAAATTCTGCTTGCGCAGAACTTGTTTATTCAATGTCATTATAAACTCATATAAATTTGGTGTGGGTGCCATATTTAATAATTGAGATATCGGTATACCCAAAATCCACCAGCCGCCACTGATGTGTGGTATTATACGTATTATTTGATTTTAAGATATTTAATGTATAATATGCTCAAAGTTGCAATAAATCTTATATTTTCCAATAAATTATGTATTTATTAGTAACCTGGTATACTCGTCACTTCCCTTGCATTCAAATTTAGAAAACACAGATATTTCAGAAACTGTTTGAAAAAGTGACTGGCCCGGTCTGGAACAGTATATTTATTATATTATCTATGTTCTCATAACAAAATACTGTTTAATTTTTTCCGAAAACTATATAAACCAAATGAGGTCAAAAGTTGCCCAACTTTTGTAGAATCACCCATATATGTATACATCATTTTAATTGAATTAAAATCCATTTTACAATATATTGCACATACCTCTCTTTCCAACTCCTCCTTATGTTTGGCATCATCATGTTCCTTGAACCTCTCATAAAACGCATGTATGTTGTGGATAATTTTATCGTACATATCCGAGATCTTCAACCTATCCAACCTATCCAGTTCCTCACGTTCCAGCCATTTAGCATCCATATCCAAAAGGCACTCCCTCAATTTAACCGTTTCGTATTCCCTTTCATAATCTAAAAAATATCTCTTTAGACCGTTTATGGGAAAATTAAACTTGCGACTCGCCTTTTCTGAAATCCCTCGATTCTTCCTCGTCATCGGACGTTTCCATCTTTGGTTGGATGGAGGTGGACCGAGCGCTCATGTACATCGAAAAGCGGCTGGGTTTTTTCGGCAAAACTTTCACCGCGGGTTGCTCGTCGATTATTATGTTTTTGGCAATGGCGGAGAAGTTTAGCACCTGTTGCGTTTCCTGGAACATTTCTCGGCAAGGGTTTACGTTCACTGCGCGACAAAGAAAATCGTCAAAAGCTATGCTAAAACCGTTCTTTCAAATTTCCTAAAGTTTATTTTTTTTTATCTGGACTGCGGCAACGTTGCACATTTAGGGTTTTGGTTGGTAAATACAGTATCAAGTTGGTCGCATTGATTAAAACAAACAACTTATGTATAAATTATTGTAGGTTACATTGTGCAGTTGTCAAGTTGAGTTGTCGAAATTCGTAGTTAAAAATGCATTTAATTTGGCTTTGGTGGTGCTTGGATGAGTAAAATCATATAAATAAAGTAGTTAAATATAGGTTGCTTTACGGCCCAGAAGAGAAAGTATTCCTAGCGGATAATAATCTTCGCTTTGAAAAGAATTTATATAAAAGAAATTAAAATTTTTTGTGAACGTAAATGTTGTCCAATGGTGAATAATGTGAAAATAATGTGTGATGTAATATTTATAAAACAAAATTCGTTACTTTTTTACTCCAAAAATGTCCATAAGGCGATGTACTTTTTCTTCCATTGTGGCATTTGCCATAATTTCATCAAAATGAAGTTTTGCCCTCAAAAGGGCTTTCACATTCGAATTCGTTGCTATTATTTTTGGCATAATTATCTTCTTATTTATAATTGACAAGTAAATTATCAATAACAAATGAGGCCTGTCAGAGCAAAGTCAACAATCTCCCGTCAGACAAAAACTGAGTAAATTGAGATAATTGATTTTGGTATTATAAATTCTAGATTTGTAATTTTTTTTATATATTTTTTATATATTATATTGTTGTTGTTAGGCCCAGTTGTATAAAAGTCCGATTAACAACAGATTAATAAATTACGGATTAATCAATAATAGCTGGTTAAAGAAAATTTTGTTGTGTTTTAATTAGTTAATTTTCAAATTTAGGGGAATTCACTAAAAAATCACCAAATTTTCGTATTTGTCATGTCATAATTTTCGTAATTGTCAAATTAACCATGTCCTTCTCAAATTAATATTAATAATTTTTGTTGTTTAGGAAGATTTTAGTAAGTATATTGGTATTTATTTATTTATTGCATTCATTAATGTGCAATTGTAAGTAGCTTTAATTACATTTCTTCTTGCAGGTGTGTTTTGTGTTTTTGGGTAAAGCTTTACCTTTAAAGGTTTTAATATTTTGTACAAAATATACAAAAAAATGGCTTTAGCATAGGCTTGTTGGACAAAAATGAAAGATTGTGGTAATAGGGTCTCTAACTTTAGTGGAAAAAAATCTTGGCTATTGCTTTGAATAGGTAGTAAAAAATATAAAAACATTGTAGAATGCAAAATGAACGCGTTACCAAAAATCGTAAAAAATCGCTTATTTAGTTATTAGTTATTAGTTCTTAAATAAATTATGGCTGATATTTCTTTATTTCAAAAAGTTATAATATTTTTTGAATGACGAAATCTGTTTCTGTATTCTTCTATATTTAAATCTGTAAAATATTCAGGTCTAGCACGGAAGTTTCGGATTTCTAGAAAAATAACCATTTCTACTAATTATAAAAAAAATCAAAGTATTTAATTAAATTTTTTAGCAGAAGTCCCATTTTTAAATACTAAAAATACTAAGTCAAACTGGCATATGCCACCAACCTAACAAAAAAACACTAGTCCAGATAAAAAAAAGAACTGTACCTATCATGCAAATATCCTCTTTCCCACTGAGCGCCCTCTGAAACAGTTGCGTCAACTTTGACTCCCTGTATGGCACGACGGCCTTGGCACCGCTCTGAGAGTTTCTTATGGAATCTATGCATTTCCCCAGCACCAAAAGCGAACCGTTAATGTTTTTCGACTCTTTCAAACGGTCCCCGACGTTCTGGGTCTTTTTTTGCCTCTCTGTACCGGCCAGATCGCAAAAATTAAAATGGGACACCTGGGCTTTGCCTTCTCCGATCGATTTCGACAGTTTTATGGTGAAAATCGAATGGGATCTATAAGAAAATACTATAGGTAGTTGAACCAGCCCAGCACACATAAGTCTGAGTTTCAAAGCTTTCCTTGTACTGGGCCTTTACAGGAATGTTTTAATAAAAATATTAATTTTGATAATTTTTTTCTTACATGAAAACGACGTACAAAAGTTGAATGGCATTTAAGTCACTTTGATAACGGATAAAAAGGAAGATAACTTTTTGCAAGTGGATAATTATTTATTTACCTAGTGTCATATAATTTCCTTGACAACCTTGTAAAATCGGCAGTAAAGTAGTCAACAATCGTCAGTAAAGTAGAACTTTACTGCCGATTTAATACGAGTATTGTATGCAACCCATTATACATTTTAAAAAAAGCACCGTCGCGGAGGTTGATTGGACTCTTTCATAAAATGTTGTTTAATAAAAATAATAAGTTAATTTTATTAATTAGATTAAAATATCACCATATTTTAAAAACGACGCCCATTGAAATAATAATAATAATACAACCTAATGGTTGTTAACTTTATATAAGTAAGTAGGTGCATTTTTAATTTTACTAATTTTAGAACTCTTATAAGAGTAATATATTACAGACAAAATACCGCCAAAGAATTTAGTATACATTTTATACAGCTACAATAAATAAAGCAAAAAAAGACTGCTTATTTATTCCATAATTACAAGTCAAATTTTCCTTTACCATTTTTTTGAATTTGAAAAATTGCTGGAGCTATTTAAAGCCGTCAATGAGAGCGCAGTATTAACGATTTGTAATCATGGTTGCCTACCTACATTATAAATCCCAGGGCTTGTCCGAAATACTCAGAGATATCTCTGGAAATACTGCGCTCTCATTGCCGTCTTTTACAGTTAAATTCAAAATAAATCATAAAGAAAAATCGTCTCGCACACCCTGTGTAATCTTACCTGCTAGAGTTAGGATTCAGGGAAGTGGCGGCATGATTTAAATTCTTGATGCCATATTGCAAAATTTGGTACGCTTCCATGCCAGAATTCACATAAATACTTGTTAGATTTTTTATGTGGGCAGTTCCATTGTCATTCCCCAATTTCAGGCGGTTTCTTTGTCGGCCTCTGGTCGGAGGTGGGACGAGCAAATCGTAAATCTGCTCGTTGTAGATTTCTGCAAAGGAAACCCACATCCCGAAGAAAACGCCTTGTTCTCTCACTTCTGCTGCCGGCTCAATGCTTAGCCTGCGCTGCATTTCAGCGTAGGTTTTCAGATGGACTAGGTTGTCCGAAGTTTGAGCGAAGCTCAACATTTCGGTTCTATTGTGCTTCTCCTCCCTCATTTCGCTGTCATTCAGCGTGGAGATGGACCCATTCCAGTTGGGTTTCACCTTAATTGCTTGGCTCAACTGAGGGATAGTGCCAAACAAGTATTCCAAAGTACGCGGTACCAGACCAGGGTTTGAGGCTGTCCCGATGATTGTATATGTTTTGCCTGTGCATGAGATATAAGTCAGAAAACTACAGTTCATTTTTTTTATCCGGACTCGTGTTTTTTTGTTAGGTTGGTGGCTTATGCCAGTTTGACTTAGTATTTTTAGTATTTAAAAATGGTACTTCTGCATGCTAAAGAATTTAATTAAATACTTTGACACTGTCAAATTGACAATAATATTTATTATTGATAATTTACTTGTCAGTTATAAATAAAAATATAATTATAGTACAGATGACGTATAGGTTTTTGAGAAGCAGGAGCCCACATTTTTTCCCCTTTTTTTACCAATAGGCTACTAGAAGTTAGAATTTTAATAAAGACAGCTTTTTTATTATAATATATAATATATCGATGACTTTTTGCCAAAGTATCGCAAGCAACATAACCCAAATTGAAAACATTTTACTTGTCTGTTTTAAATTAAATATAGCCTAAAGATTTTATAATAAGTAATTCCTTAGCTTATAATTATAGCTATTTACTTGTTATATATAAAACCTATAGGTGATATATGGTTTAAAACAGACTTTGAAACAAAAAATGTTTTCAATTCCTGAAATTTGAGTTATGTTATGTTATATTATATCAATATAATATATATACACTCACGTGCAAAATAATCGATCCACACAAATTTTGGATGAATTTCAATGGCAAATAACTTTTTTATTTGATGTCGGATTTAAACGAATATTAAAGAATATTGTAGATAAATTAATGGACAATCGCTCACATTTAAAAAAAAAATACTGAAAAATAGACGTACGTTTATAATATACAGGTTTAAACAAAAATATGTTTTTTACCACATGTCCAAGTATGGGATGATTCAACAAAACTGTCACTGTCTTCTAGGCTATGGATGGACCATAGCAACCTTAGTTCTTCATACAGGAAAAATATTGGAAATTGCAATGTTCTTTAAAAAAATTGATAAATAAAACTTAGTTTAGAACAAAATACGGTTTTAACACTCTACAGAGTGTCTTAAACTTATGGTAAAAAACATATTTTTGTTTAAACTGTATATTATAAACGTACGTCTATTTTTTAGTATTTTTTTTTAAATGTGAGCGATTGTCCATTAATTTATCTACAATATTCTTTAATATTAGTTTAAATCCGACATCAAATAAAAAAGTTATTTGCGATTGAAATTCATCGAAAAATTTTGTGGATCGATTATTTTGCACGTGAGTGTAGTTCATTGATTTTAAATTGAGATGAAACTTGTTCTTTTTTAAAGATCAGTTCGTTTTTGTAAGGGGTCGTAGGTCAAAATTTTGTTTAGATTTTTGTAATTTTTAGTTTAATATCTATAATTTTTGTGTTTTTAACAAAAATATCAACCGACAGCTGTCTTATTTAAGATTTTATTTTCAAAACGTCTTTAGAAAATAACACAATTTTTAAACCCTAATTACTCAAAATGGTGCGTAATTTTTGGAAACTAAAATCGTAATTACATTATTTGATTATTAATAAAATAATAAATAACAAATATATAATTAAGAAATTCGTCACGCTTAACTTAATATGTTTATCGCGCAGGTCTGACTCACCCTCTTTTTTGGTTGTTTTTGTTAATAATTATAATCCCCCAACGTAATCAAGCGTTCAGTTCTTTATCTCTGGTTCAGTTGGAATTTGGATTTCATACGACGAACATGTTCATTTATTACTTCTATCTACATCAACAAATTGCTAGGTATTATTAGAATTCCAACGCATCTATTAGGTCAAATAATACTACGAATATTTTTAATATTTAAAAAAATAAAGAACCTAAAATTTGCAGTCCTTAAATGGTCTAATTGTATTTTTTTCTAGGACCAACATAGCTATTAAGCCAATGGATATTAAGAAATAAGACAACCATATATATAAGGATAATGGGATTTAACCAGAACTCATCAATAAATTTGGCAAGTACCAATTTATTATTTTTAAATTTTTTGACTAAAATAAAAGTAGGTACCTATTTATTCCCTAATTTTTAGTTTTTTTAACTAAATTTCTTCAAACTTGTTTAGTCTACTTTTATTTATAAAATCGCCTTAGAAATTTTAAATAGTTTTTTATTGTTTAAAATCAATATATAACTTGACAGAATAAAATTATGTAGTTATTATTGTGCATTTTTCTACTTAAAATTTTTCATTAAACAAATGGGTCACACTGTCTATAATTTTTGTGTTAAATATTTTCAACAAAAATATCAACCATGGTTGCAATAAGTATAAAAAGTATACCTACGTATAAAAATGATTCTTATTTAAGTTTTTATTTTCAAAACGTCCTTAGAAAATATCACAAATTAAATTTAATTTTTAAACCCTAATAACTCAAAATGGTGCGTAATTTTTGGGAAACTGTATAATCGAAATTAGATTATTTGAGTATTAATAAAATAATAAATAACAAATATATCTATAATTAAAATTTGTCACCCTTAACGTAATATGTTTATCGCGCAAGTCTGACTCACCCTTTTTTTGTTTTTGCTGATAAAAATAATTATAATCCCTACAACGTAATCAACCATTTAGTTGTAATTTGGCTTTGATACGACAAACATGCTCATTTATTACTTTGATCTACATCTATAGATGTATTTGTATACAAATTGCTAGGTACCTACCTATATACGTATTATTAGAATTCTAACGCATCTATTATCTCAAATATTACTACGTTGTTTTTTTGATATTTTAAAAAATAAAAACATAAAAGTTGCAGCCCTTAAATCGTCTAATTGTATTTTTTTCTAGGTTCAACATGTTATAGAATTAACCCATGGATAATAAGAAATAAGACAACCATATAAGGATAATACGATTTAACCAGAACTCATCAAGGAATTTGGCAAGTACCTACCAATTAATTATTTTTAATTTTTTTGACTAAAAGTTTTTATTATCGAAATTTCTTTAAATATCTTTTTGTCGGGTCAAATATTGTTTAAGTTGGAGATGGAACTAATTCTTAATTTAAAGATCCGTTCTTTTAGTTCGTTTTTGTTAGGGGTTGTAAGTCAAATTGTCATTAGTTTTTGTAAGTTGGATATGGAACTAATTCTTTATTTAAAGATCAGTTCTTTTAGTTCGTTTTTGTTAGGGATCGTAGGTCAAAATTTTGTGATTCTTTTTGTCAGGTCAAAGTTGGTTAAGTTGGAAATGAAACTTATTCTTTACTTAAAGATTAGTTCTTTTTTGTGAAGGGGTCGTGCTTCAAAATTTATTTTAGATTTTTTTATCAGGTCAAATTGTGTTTATTGGGATATTTTTAAAGATCAGTTCTTTTTTTTGTTAGGGATCGTAAATCAAAACTTTTTTAGATTCCTTTTGTTAGGGCAAATCTTGTTTAAGATGGAGATGAAAATAATTCTTTATTTAAAGATAAGTTCTTTTAGTTCGTTTTTGTTAGGGGTCGTTAGTCAAATTTTCATTAGTTTTTTTTAAAGTTGGATATGGAAGTTATTCTTTTTTAAAGATCAGTTTTTTTTGTTAGGGGTCAAAACTTTTTTAGATTCTTTTTGTTAGGGCAAATCTTGTTTAAATTGGAGATGGAACTAATTCTTTATTTAAAGATCCGTTCTTTTAGTTCGTTTTTGATAGGGATTGTAAGTCAAATTGTCATTAGTTTTTTTAAGTTGGATATAGAACTTATTCTTTTTTAAAGATCAGTTATTTTTCTTGTTTAAGTTGGATATGGACCTAATTCTTTATTTAAAGATAAGTTCTTTTTGTTCGTTTTTGTTAGGAGTCGTAAGTCAAATTTTTATTAGATTCTTTAAGTTGGAGATGGAACTTATTCTTTTTTAAAGATCAGTTCTTTTTTTTTTTGTTAGGGGTAGTAAGTCAAAACTTCTTTAGATTCTTTTTGTCAGTTCAAATCTTGTTCCTTGGTGATATGTTACCGAAACAAAACACAAAGTAATTTTCGCCAACAATGTTGGCATCTTCAGAAGCGAAGTGTAACTAAATCTAAATGCTAAATCTACCAAATTTATACTAATTATTATAGTTTACTAAACCCTGGACCGTCATCGCTTCAGTGAACACGTAAAGAGAAACTAACAAACTCTAGTTGGGTACCGGTGCGTTATCAATATTTAAACATTTATTTCTATTCTTATAGATGTATAAACTTTTATAACTATCTATTAGGCGTAACTTTAAGGTTTCCAAATCCTATTTTATGACCATCATCAAGTATGTGTTAGGCAACACTCGATTTCTCTGTCCTATCAAATCTAGCACTTGGCCCATGCTAGATTTGGTAGTACAGAGAAACCGAATGTTGCTCAAAATCCGCTCGTTTTCTCTGTGCTACAAAATCTAGCACTTGGCCCATGCTAGATTTGGTAGTACAGAGAAACCGAGTGTTGCTCAACATCCGCTCGTTTTCTCTGTGCTACAAAATCTAGCACTTGGCCAATGCTAGATTTGGTAGGACAGAGAAGTCGAGTATTGCCCAACATATACTTGATGATGGTCATAGAATAGAATTTGACAACCTTAAACTTATTAAGGAAGTTAAGAACCAAGTCTGCTAGATAGTTATGAAGGTTTATACGTCTATAAGAATAGAAATAAATCTTTGAATAGCGATAACGGACCAGTACCCTAGTCTAGTTAGTTTAAATTAGTTTGTTAGTTTCTCTTTACATGTTCACTAAAGCGATTACGGTCCAGTGTCGTTTACGGTTCAGTCAACCTTAGCTTATAATTAGTATAAATATGGTAGATTTAGCATTTAGATTTAGTTACACTTCGCTTCTAAAGATGCCAACATCGTTGGCGGAAAGTACTTTAAGCAATTTGTATTTTGTTTTGGTGTTGGGGAATATTTTAAATATATGTTTAGGTCAAATTTTGTTTAAGTTGGAGAAGAAACTTCTTTATTTAAAGATTAGTTCCTTTACATCGTTTTTCTAGGTAACGTAGGTCAAAACTTTTTTAGATTCTTTTTTTCAGGTCAAATCTTGTTTAAAG